AGAATCCTGGGTAAAGGGCCAGTCTGCCATTCACCATCCACAGATCTTTTTCCCAAAGGCTAAGCACCAACTACTCAACTGTGCTTCTGTTCTCAAAAATGGTGGATGGTAGGGTCCCAGCCATACCTTTCACTAGGTACTAAACTCAACCAGGTCACGGGGCTTCTCTGAGCACAAAAATTACGTGAAAATCCGAAGAAATAACTATCATGTAACTGCTTGGAATACCCACAGAGTATTGTGCAAATGTTTGATGTTATTTTATTGACTCAGTCCTTGCTAGATAAAAATGTGTTTGTATTGCACAAGTATGTGTCACTTAAATACCAAGTAAGGTGTCCCATGATGCCACGCAGAGGTCAGCAACCGTTCTGAGCCCTGAGAGCTACCAGGGGGCATAAGCTTGTAGGTATGCTTAGGACAAAGGCAAAGTTGGGGGATAGGAGCGAGGTCAGGGAGAGTCAGAAACCTAGTGTCTCCTTCCTTACACATTCCCTCCCATCCTATGCTTATTCTGGAGCCTACCTTGTTTAAATCCTAATCATGATTTGTGGGTCACCTTTTCCAGGTAGCTTTCCCTGATTGCAGCTAGTGCATTTTTGCTCTCCTACGGACACTCTTAGCACTTGGTATGTGCCGGTCTCAAGCACTGATGGTTTCTTCTTAGGGCTGGATCCTAGTTTTCCCCCTGGGCTGCATGCTCTTTCACTCATACATTCATGAGCCCTGCAAGCCCCGGTGTTTCAAACTTTAGGTCACTATCATGGGTCAGGATATCCATTTAGAGCTATTGTTTCCCAAAATTGCCTGAGAAGAATCACCTGGGTCTTGTGTTAAATGTACACAGGCCAATTAGCCGCTCCCCTGGAGATTCTGATTTTGCAGTAGGTCTGACTTGGGACTGGGGATCTATTTACCAACCTTCCAGGATGTAGAATCTAGCTTTTCAATCTGCAAAGTGCATACCAGTCACTTGATCTCAATAATACAGATCCTAGTTTACTAGGCCTGGGGCAGGCCAGGCAGCATAACTTCTGGGGCACCTGGGTGTCTCAGTGGGTTAAGCATCTGACTTCAGCTCAGGTCATGATCTCATGGTTCATGAGTTCAAGCCCTGTTTTGGGCTCTGTGCTGACAGCTCAAAGGCTGGAGCCTGCTTCAGATTTTGTGTCTCTCTCTCTGCACCTCCCCTGCTCATGCTCTCTCTCCCTCAAAAAAATAAACATTAATTTTTTTTAAAAAAAGGAAGAATAATTTGTAACAACCCCCAGATGATGCCAATGCTGCAGGTCCAGGATCATAGGCTGTTTGGCCCAAGTTCAGGTGATTATTACTTTTAGGCCCCACTGGAGAAGTCAGGATTTGGTGCTGGTCTCAACATCAGCACACCTGGGGAGATTTTAAAACATACTAAGGTCCAAAAGCCAAACAAACATACTAAGGTCCACATCCCGCTATGGGCCATTTTAAAGCAGAATCACTCAGGTTTTTTGGTTTGGTTTTTAAAGCTACTCAGATAATTCTGATATAATTACATAAGAATTATCAGAGGTTGAGACTCACTGACTTAGTGGGTCCCCACCAGCATGAAAATAAATTAATGAATAAATGGAATAGAATAGACCATCTCATGGACTTGTGGGATAAAGCCTTTGATTCCATTATGTGCATGGTATATGCAGATCATGTGAGTTGCTAGATCGATGTAGGTTTGAAAATGAGTGAAGGAGAAATGAGCATGTCCAGGAGTTCACAGACAAGCTGTGGGGACAGACAGACTGAATGAACTCAAGGGCACCCAGGCTTCCCACCACTACCACCCGGGGGCTAACGGCACAGATGGAGAACTCCACAGCATCAGGCAGTGAAGTCATAGTCAGAGAAAGCCTCAAGAAGCCTCTGTGTAAGCTAAGTGGTACAGGGTGAACAGGGCTGTCATGAAGCAGGCAGGGCCTTCAAAGCACAGAGGACAAAATGTACGCAGTTTGGAGGTATGTAAAAGAACACAGCAGGTTCAGGGAAGGGAACTAGCAGTGGCTGGCCATGTGTCTGGAGCCTGGGGGGTGTGAAGGGGAGTGGCCGAGATAGGCCCAGAGGATTGCAGGGGCCTGGGGAATGTGAGCTGAAGAGAAAGGAAGGTCACTGGCCCTTTGCTAGGGAATGACCACAGGTGACTTTTCTTGGCTCGTAGTAGCCAAGACTCCACTGGCAGATTGTGTAAAGCTGTTTTTGTGGATATAAGGGTCCATGGAGACTGAGGGCCCTAGACAACTTTCTAGAAAGCATTTGGCAGGGGTGGGGGAGTCAGAGGGTGTTTAAGCAATCGTCTATCAGCAACATTCCCATGTCCCTTTTCCCAAGACCCCAGACCCTCTTGGGCAAACACCCTTTTTGCCAAGCACTGAATTGGAGGGCCAGAAACAAGGCAGACAGCCCTGCCCCGGTGAGCCGGCAGTGGGAAAGTGATTCACACTCATGAATTATTATAACATACAGCAGGGGCTTGGAACTGCCCCAAACTTTGTGCTATGGGAAAGCAACGGCAAGAGCCATCAGTTTTGCCTGGGTTGGTCAGAGAAGGCTCTTCTGAGGAGGCAAAGAGCCTTGAAGGGTTAACATGTTTAATTGGAGAAGAGTCAATGGTGAAAGGGGGGAAGAGGCTTAAGGAACCAAGGATTTGCAAGACACTGAGAGACTGCACAGGGCTGGAGTACAGAATGTCATCGGGTGTGAGGTGGACTGTAAGGCAGAGCGGCCAGAACACAGTCCTCACGCCAAGTTAAGAAGTTTGTACGGATTGGGGAGGCAAGAGAGAACCATTGGAGGTTTTTAACCTGATTCTCGAAGGTGGGTTCTAATACCTCCTAGGATATTATCTGGCAGCTGATATGGAGGCTGGAGGTGTGGATAACAGTTTAAGAGGCTAAAGAATGAATGAAAAAATGGGTAGATGAGGACTGAGAAACGAAACACTAACTCTATTTATTTACTTTTTTAATGTTTATTTTTGAGAGAGAGTGAGCGAGCGAGCATGAATCGGGGAGGGGCGGGGGGGGGGAGACACAGAATCTGAAGCAGGCTCCAGGCTCTGAGCTGTCAGCACAGAGCTGTACGTGGGGCTCGAACTCATGGACCGTGAGATCATGGCCTGAGCTGAAGTTGGACGCCTGATCGACTGAGCCACCCAGGCACCCCCAAAACATTAACTTTGTGATGACTCCTGAGAAAACAAAGTGTTTTCAGTTCCAACCTTAATATGCCCCAAAAGAGCCAGTCAAGGGCCTAGGGGTTTCAGACCAGGAACTAAGACCTGGAGGGGTAGAGGCTTGCCCTGTGACCTGCAGCATGACAGAAACACACTGGCACAGTTCGAGACACGGGTGTTCCTGTTGGCCTGGGATTTCCTCTCTTTGGAGTCTGTTGTGCCCCAATTGTCTATTTAATTTCAATCTTTTCCTCCTCTTTAGGTTTTACCACAGGAGACTAACTCCATCCTAATCTGAAATGAATTATTTCTGCTTCTGAAAATGCTAGATGCCTGCCTGATTTATTTTTCAAATAATACATCTGAACAGAAATTCACACAAGACGGGGCAAACAGAATTTTGAGTTGAATGCCCTGCCCCAACTGTTGCCCGACTTATCATTTCAAACTAGTGTGGGGCCTTGTCATCATCCAGTGGAGCCCCAAATCTAACCCCGCGCACTAATTAGATGCCAAATGCCTGTGTCTGACAGTCAAGATTTGCCTATCAGACCCTGCCACCTGACCTTTACGGTCTTCTGCTACTGTGACTTTCTCCACTAGTCCAAATTCCAGTCATTCAACCCAGGCCCACCTCAAACACCTCCAACCGTCTGAAGCCATCCCTAGTTCTCTCTCAAGGGGAAAAGGCCCTCTGCTTCAGAATTTCCAGAGTCCTTTGTTTTTACACCCTTCATTAGATTTTAAGTTCCCCCAGGGGGCTTGGGCATGAACAATGGCACACAGCAGGTATCTCAGAAGAGTTTGCTGAAATTAGGTGGCACGGTCTCCTACATCCCAAGCAGCAGTTAAACAGCCAGCTCAAGCAGACCAGACAAAATTTTGGAGTTGATAGTTACAAAGCGCACTCTGGACAAGTGGGCAGGGAAAGCCACCCACCGAGAGCTAATCCCTGACTGATGCTTCCACCCAGTGGAAGTGGCCTCTTGGACTAACCCACATCCTTCCCTTGTATTTCAGCAGCCTCCCGAAGCGCTTCTCCTCTCCTGGCTGACTTTTCACGTTTCCTCCAACCCCTCACACCTGTTGTGTTGCCTTCCAGTTTACAAGTCAGAGTCAGGTCATAATTCGTAGTGATTCTTACAAGAGCCAAAAGATGCACACAAGGCAGGCATTACTTTTCGGACAGGGATTTGGCGCTTAGGAACCAGTGACTTGTCCAGGGTCACTCCCAGAAGTGACAAGGCTATTACTCTACTTAAGCCTCCTATCTCCAGGTGCAGTAGAATCCGAGACCTGCGGTTGTCTGAGGGAACAGTTTAAGCGTGATCTGTTAAGCATACACAGGTGTTCCTCTGTGGCCTGAGGCATCGGTAGCTGACAAAAGGCCCCTGGGACGGTGTCATGAAATCTAACCGAGGCTACAGAGGGGAGCCAGGCGGGCACTTTCAGCGCTTGCCACCCACAACTGTCAGTGCCCACCGGCCCTCCCCCAGACTGGACGCGGGAGAACGCGCTGGCTTCTCGTGGCACGGCAAGGCCACCGCGCCTCGCGCCAAGGCAACGGTGTTCGCGCTAGTAGAGACCCAGTGCCTTACGACAGGTGTGGTGGATGACCCTACACCTGCCCGGCCGGTGCCAAGAGTACTTGTGCGGTGTCACCTGACTCTCCGCGGCTTTAGGGAGGGGCCGCGCGGCTGCCTCACGTGATCGGGCTCCGGCGGCGTCGAGCGCGTCAGGCCACGCCCCGCGCGCCGGGTCGGTCAAGGCCTGCGCCTGCGCGGCCGCTGGCTCGCCGGCTAGCCGTCCTGCGGGCTGGCGGCTACCGCGCGCGGAGCCGGATGCCCGCTGCAATGGGTGAGTGCAGGAGGCCGGCGAGCGGGCAGCACGGGCCTTCCCCCGGCCTGTGGGTTGAAAGGGCGGAAGCACGAAGGACGGTCTGAGGAGGTCGCCCTGCGCGGGCCCTCTGGCGCAGCCCCTGGGGCCCACCCCTCTCTGCGCGCCTAGTCGCTCCCGCGCGCCCTCCCGGGTGGGGCCCGAAGCCGCAGGAGCCGGAGGAGGCGCCGCGCGCGCAGGGTCGGTTCCGCGCCCACGCGGCTCCCGGCTCTCCCGCTGGCCCTCCGACTTCGCAGGGCTTCGCGGGGCGGGGGGTGCCATCTGGCTGCCGGAGCGAGCCTTTCTGGCGAGGGAGACTGCGTTCTTTCGGACGCGCCTCTGCCGGGGAGGTGCCTCACGCCGCGCACAAACCGTAGGGCGGGGAGGGGCCCGCTGCGCCCGGGGAGAGCAGCGCTGGCGGCGCTGGGACGCCGGAAGGGCCCCTGCCCCTCGGGGTTTGGGATTCCGGGCCTCCGGAGCCTGTTGACTGTCAGAGACGGAAGGGCCTTCGGTGATCCTGCCCAATTTCCACCCCTGCCCCTTACGCCAGATTGGGGATATGGACGCTCAGAGGGCGGTCAATTCAGCCACAGTTAGGCAGTGCTTATTCTGCGACACCATGTTGCATTGCGTTGTGGGAAACTCAATTGTACAAGGCTTGGGGGCGGGGGGGAAGCTGGCAGGCGGGCGATGTTCATTCTGAATCTCTGTAGTGATTATTTAGCACTGAGCTTAGGTAGGGGGAACACGTCGGTGCCTCAGCTGTATTTACCCTTTACACTTAACCCTTATTTTGCCCCGTCAGCGATACACAGCTGGTCTTAATTCCCACCCTTGGTTTCTCTTGTCAGCAGTGAAACAGAAGCCCTGAAGGTATATGCGTAGTGACCTTGCGGGTTCGAGCCTCCTCCGCCTTTGCTTGGAAAGGGATTCAGTAAAATCAAAAGGTGCCAGAACTGGTCAGGTCCCCTAGTGGTTCCAGAGCACAGGTTAGGCACTTTGGATCTGGAGTCACGCTTATGATTTTTTCTTTAAATGCACTAAGCTGTTACTGCTGACCGGAGGTATTTGGTTTCTCCTTTGATAAAGTAAGCTTAGAGAATTGGATTTTTAAATTAGGGACGTTGCTATGTGTATTCTAGCAAGATACTGTCATAACTAGGACTGGAACCCAGACCGATCTGGTTCTGAATGCCGACTCAGACCTGCTGACTTGTGGGAGTTCACATCCTTTGAGAATTACGCTTGCCTTCCCCCCACTTTTTGCACAAAGACCTTTGTGCTGGGATCATATCTGGATCTTGTTTATCCGTGTGGGCTGTAAATTACAGTGAGTAGACTTTACACTGTTGGGTTGTGCAGCAAAAGTTTCACACTTGTAGTTGCTTGAAAGTCAGCTTGTTAACTGTGCTTCCTGTTGATCAGATAGGTTGAGTGTTTTAGGTAGCAAATAGGATAAAATTTTGTTAAATAAGTTTTGCAGTAAATTGCACAGAATTATCCATGTTAAGGAATTGTATAGAGGTTAGTTTAATAAAGAAATTGAGCCATGTTTGCAATATAGATAAACATTGTAAAATTCTAAACTCCATTTTCACAGAATACTGTGCACCCCATCCTTCTGTTGCTAAATTAGGAACCTATTCATACCATTCTGGTGTGTAGGATGAAACTAGAGGGAAAGCTTTAGTTTTATTTCTTTTCCCATGTGCATCTGGTTTCTTTGAAGACATCGGTCTCAGGAGGTTATAATTTAGAGGGAAATTTTTAAATCTATGAAGTCTAGGAGGGTTTCATTACCTTCCTTTTTCTATATCCAGTCCTGTTAATTTGATACTCTAAATGTAGAGTGATGTTCTTAAAATATCTTAAAATAGTTAAATACAGTGGTCAGTAAGCGACTAACTTCTGTGAGCCACAGTTTACTGTTTGTTTAATAACAGTCTCCGTTATTACAAAGAGCTGTGACAAACTAGATGAAGTAACTTTAATTTGCAAAATTTTAGAATGTAAATCATTCCAGGGGTCCCTGGGTGGCTTAGGAGGTTAAGCATCTGACTTCGGCTCAGGTCCTGATCTCACGGGCTTAGGGTTCGAGCCCCGTGTGGGCTCTGTGCTGACAGCTCAGAGCCTATTTCAGATTCTGTGTCTCCCTCCCTGTCTCTGCCCCTCCCCCGTGCAAACTGTTGAGCGCTCTCTCTCTCTCTCTCAAAATATTAAAAAAAGAAAAAATCATTCCAGTAAAAACTAAAAGTGAACATGGACAAAATTTGGTTAGTCAGGTGTACAAATAACTTGGTTTGTATTATCAAGGAACAATAGATTGTTAAACAGCTTGTAGGTGGTGACTGTAGAATTTCAAGTCGGTTATGTATTTATTTAAATGAAATTTTTTACATTCATAAGTTTTCACAGTGTATTATATAACATATACATTAATCTGAGTATTCTTAGTCCTGAGACTGAAGAAGAGCAAAGTTTTACATAGATATAAAGCATTTGTATGCCAAGTTTTTAAAATGTTGGTTGATCCTAGATTGGCGAGTGTAGTACTTACAAGTTTTTAAATTCACATCTGTCAGCTAAAACAGTAAGAAGTAATGATGGAGAAGACTAAGTGATTAATAATTATCAAACTCTGTACCCTGACAAACTTCTCAACCATCTTTAGACTTTTTTTTTTTTTTTTTTTTAACTAAAAATGCCATTGGTGATAAATAAAAATGAACTAAAATGCCATTGGCTTCTTTAACTGGTTAAAAGCACAAAATGTATGAGGCAGAAGGTGTGTTTTAAACAAATTAAAAAGCTGTGGGTTTTCTTTTTTCAGTTCTCCCTAAGTCGTATAAAATAACCACAAAAATAATGCATGATGGAAAGCTGTCCTATACAAGCACTTGTATCCTGAATTCAGGGAAACAGCTATTGAAACAGGAATTAGCATAATAAAGTCAGCAACAGGTTAATGGTTTTAAAAATTGAGTCTTTGAGGCACCAGTCAGGCTCAGTGAGTGGAGCATGAGACCCTTGATCTCAGAATTATGGGTTCGAGCCCCACATGGGATGTAGAGATTACTTAAAAAATAAAATAAAATAAAATCTTAAAAAAAAATTGAGTCTTCAAATGCTGCATGGCATGATGCTATACTATATAAAGACTGAAGTACTGCTACGTAGGAAGGAGGAAGTCTATGGCATTTAGCAAAAATGCTTTAACAGAAAAGCAAATCATAACAATGTAGTCATCAAATCAAGGAGGCTGTAGCTAGATATCAGAGCTATGGCTTCTCATATCTGTGCTAGAAGATCCTGTTTCCCCAGGATGGACCAAAATTTCAGGACAAAACAGGGACTTTTAAAAAACATTTCTTTACCCATTTTAAGTTCTGTTTCTTTCCCCTTCCCCCTGCATTTCAGCATGATCTAGCAGAAAGATGGCTGCCAATTTTATTTTTCTTTCTGTGGCAAGATTGTCATGGAGCCTGGATATTTCAGGTTTGTATACATCTCTTCCCTTTGTCCTGCTGTGGTCAAAAAACTTAGTAATGGACTTCATATACTCAGCTTGCTTTGCCGCAGCAGCCGCCGCAGCTGCTGCTGCTGCTTTGTTCTCCCACTAATCAAGGTCAGCTTCCGGGTGTATTTATCATCAAATCTTTTGTGACTGGAGGACGACTGCCAGATACTGAGATCTGTCCTTGTCTTTACTGTAGGCCACAAGAAAGATGCATAAATAGAGGATGTAAGACGGGCAAAGCTAAAACAGGCTTGGATTCTGTAGCTGGGTGTGAATAATCCCATCTAACTTGAGAAATCAGAATACAATAAGCCTAGATAAAACAAGAAAAGAGATAAAGAGGAAAAACATTTAAAAACTGAAAAATAGTAAAACTGGTAAATCTGAGAGCTTGTTTTTTTTTGCTGAGATGGGGGAATGTAAATTTGATAAACTGCCTGCCCTGCTCAAGACTAGAAGTATTTTTTAAAAACAGCAAGTACTATATAAGACTGTATAAATAAACCAGATTTTTTTTTTAAAGGGAATCCAGTTACCAAAATGACTCCAGAAGAAAGAACCTAACAGACCAGTAACAATGGAAGAAATTGAGAAAGTTACCAAAAAGCTGCCATCCCCCAAAACACCAGGCTCAGATGATGTTACAGGTGAATTGTTTTAACTTTCAAGGAACAGATAATTTTGATAAGATTTAAATTGTTCACCAGCATAAGGAAGGAAAAGTGACAGATTCTTTTTACAAAGCCAGTGGAACATTGATGCCTGAACTTGGCCTGAAGAAGGTACTAAAATTGAAAACTTGGTATGTTCTCATGATGTGAAATTTTAAAATATTAGCAAATGGTATCTAGTGATACATTTAGTGATACATCTAGTGGTACATTAGCAAATGTATCTAGTGATACATTTAAAAAAACGTTTCATCATTTCCAAAGAGGATTCATTCCCATATTACAAGGGCAAGTAATTAACAAGAAATATGCTAACATTAACCCATCAGAGAGGAACAGTAATAATAGTTCATCCATGTTGAGCACCTCTGGTGCTCTGGACTACTCTCCTGGATACTTTACGTGCAGTAACACAATTAATTGAGCCAACCTATAAAGTAGGTAACATCCCTATTTTATAAATGAGGAAATTAAGTCATAGAGACCTTGAGGAACTTGCTGAAGGTCACACAGTGGGTATGTGGTAGAGCCAGTATCTGACCCCAGGCTGTAAACTGCAGCTCTTAAATGTTATACTGGCTCTGTCTCTTGTATTCATATGATCATCTCAGTAGCTCCCTGAAAGCGATTGACCAAAGTTCCTGATTTAGTGGTGGTGGGAAGGGTTGAGGGTGGTTGAATTTCAGTAAAACAGGCATAAATGTATTCCTTTCCCATGTTTGAAAATCCTCTAAGCCCTTACCAGTTGATCATTAGTACTAGAAAAGTGGAATCCAGTTTTAATGGGAAACATAATTTCCTAGTAAATAGTGAGGTAAAGGGGCTTAAGTTATAATTAAAGATACAGTTCTTAGGATGAATGCAGGATGAAGTGTTGGGGTTTTTAATGTAATTTGATGAAATGTGGTAGTGTTGGAAAGGCATGCTTCACTCCATGTTTGCAGCACAATCCTAAAGCTGGGTAGGGAGAGATGACAGAGAAGTTTACTTGAGTGGGTACAGATGTTATAGGGGCCAGTTAATCAAACATTTTTGTGTCATGATGATCTGTTTCCCTGTAAACTGCTAGGACTTAGATTATGAATACTCCGATGACAACTTCTTATCTCTCACACCAAAAAAACCAGTGTCATATTTAACATTAATTCCTAGCAAAGTTCCCAGAAATGTCAAGAAAAATATAAAGAGGAGTGCCTGGGTAGCTCAGCTGGTTTAGCATCCAACTCTTGATTTCGGTTCAGGTCATGATCTCACGGTTCGTGAGATAGACCTCCTTGTTGGGCTCTGCACTGGCAGCACAACTGCTTGGGATTCCCTCCCTCCCCCTCAAATAAACATTAAAAAAAATATATGGGGCGCCTGGGTGGCTCAGTAAGTTAAGTGTCCAGCTTCGGCTCAGGTCATGATCTTGCGGTTCGCGAGTGTGAGCCCCATGTCAGACTCTGTGCTGACAGCTCCGAGCCTGGAGCCTGCTTCAGATTCTGTGTCTCCCTCTCTCTCTGTTCCTCCCCTGCTCATGCTTTATCTGTCAGTCTGTCTCTCAAAACTAAACATTAAATAATAAGGACATTCACTGTTACCATAATTTTGTTCAGGAAGTATTTGTGAGTCTAGTAAGATAGAAAAAAGACATATAGAGGAGAAATAAAAATAATTTGTGGTATTTTATGTGGTGGAAGCTGAATCAAATCCAGTCCAGAAAACAGAAGTTGCGAGAGGATTCAGTAAATTGGCTGGTTCTGACCTTAATACACAAAAATTGGTAGCTTTTTTTGTATGCAGACAAAAAGCAGTCTGAAAATTAATTGGAGGGAATCAGCACATTCATAATAGCAACCAAAAAGATAAACTAGACACAAATTTCAGTATCTATATGAAAAAAAGTTTACCAGGAAAAGCGTGAAAGCCAGAAAGCCGAGAATTCTTAGAGTATGGGGAAGCCCTACCAGATGGTGACACGTGTCCTGCCACCATAGTGGGTCAGAGCAGGTTGGTGCGAGAGAAGTGCTTGTGCCGCTCCCGGGGCAGAGCGAGTGCGGGGGGACCATGCACATGCCTATGGGCATTTAGTTTATGCTCACCAGTCACTTCCAGAGGCATCTCTTCTCTGCCTCAGGCCTTACTGTGTCGTTCGACAGATCACAGTATGGATGGATGATAAATAAAGCTATAGAGGAGAGCAGCTGTGGGTTACTTGTTCATAATTTTAGAGTAATGATGGCCTTCTGAGGACATTACAAAACCTAGAAGCCAAGATGAATAGATTTAATATCCAAATTGAGAACTTCAGCACCACAAAAATGATAAAACAGTATTTGCTGCAATTTGATAAATTTAACTAGGATGGACTTCTTTATATATAAAAGGATTTTACAAATCAGAAAAATTTTTTCTGTGTACAGGAAAAAGGGTATCGTGAAAATTTATAGTAAATCCAAATGGTCAAAAATAAAAAGTGCTGTATTTTAATCAGAAATTTTAAATGACAGGCACCTGGGTGGCTCAGTCGGTTAAGCGTCTCACTTCGGCTCAGGTCACGATCTCGCGGTTTGTGAATTCAAGCCTCGCATCAAGCTTCCAGCTGTCAGCACAGGGCCTGCTTTGCATCCTCTGTTTCCCTCTCTGCCCCTCCCCTCCTCACACGCTCTCTTCTCTCTCTCTCCCAAAAATAAATAAAACGTTAAAAAATTTTTAATGACAAAATGAAGGGTTTTTGTTTACCCATCAGATAGGCAGAAATTACAATTAATACCTGCTGCTGGAAATGGTATCAGAACTGGTACTGGCATACACGTAATTTAAGGTGTAAATCATAATTTTTCTGGGGCAATTTGGAGTAGCTATCAAGTAGTATTTGAGCCAGCAATCCCATTCTAAACATTTACCCTACAGACAACCTTGTGAGAGTTCACCCAAGCAAGGTGTATGTACAAGGCGGCCCAATGAATCAATCTTTAAAAAAAAAAAAAAAGCAAACCTAAACAAAAAAACAGGGACTAAAATAGGAGATAGAATAAATGATATGTAATACATCCAGTTGTTAGAATGCTATGCAATTATCCAAAATACTGGGGTATCTCTGCTGTTGTTAGAAAATTCCAGAATGCATTGTATCACTAGTGGCAGGCTGACTAGTAAAGAGGCTCTGGTGTGAGTTAGGCAAGCCTGAAGAGCCCTGAGCCAGGGCAGCGAGCCTGGAGCAGAAAGACGTCTGTCTATTTAGTTTATTTACAACTTTATTTTCTCTTTAAAAAAAAAAAAAAAAAAACGTTTTTTTTAAATGTTGAATTTCTAATGTGTACTTTTTTCCCGAAAAATTAATACGTGTTTCTTTTGTGAATTTCCGTTTAAATGATTCATTTGTTGTTTTATTGGATCTACAAGCAGCCCAACTCCAAGGAATGTGGCCTCTCTCTGTCAAACGTACAGGTGACTTCATAGTTTAACTGTTTTTATACTTGCCAAAATTAGAAATAATTCCTCTCTCTGAACCAGGCCTTACTCTATTTACATTGCAGTGGAACAGATTTTACTGCCCCTTTAAACGGATAGACCATGTAGCTAAGCAGCATTCAGATGCATTTCCGCTCCTTCCAATGCCCCTGCCTGAGGGGGATGGTGTGGCTCCCCTGTGGGTGGACAGTGAAAGATTGTGCCCCTGGCACTGTCATTTTCTGTCAGTGTAACCAGGGGATTTAGTGGCGAGAAAAGTTTCCTGACCCCTTTTAGGACCTTCCTTAATGGCAGAGTTTGGGCCTGCAGTGGTGTCACAGTTTTTCTCAGCTGAGGGCAAGTTTATCTTTTCTAATAGAATCATGGAGCAAGCCAACTGGAACTCCAAAACAAAGAGACTTTGGGCCAAAGGTTCAGTGTTAACATTTTCTTTTTAGTGTAGTCTATCTCGTGGCAAGACACAGACGCTGGTGAAGGAAAATAGCTTGTTTTCCATTTGCTTCACATGAGAAAGGGAAAAATCGTACTCCGTAGTGTCAGAGGGTCTTGGAATCTTCCTGAGGGTCTCTGATAATACCGGTCCAAGCCTGCTTCTCTTTCCACTGCCGCCTACCCATCTTCTACCCACACGGTGCTCTAGCAGAATATACTGGAATAATTCCTCCAGAATGTGATACTGCTGCTCCTTTGACACAGGACCTACACCTTAGCCTGTGCTGCCTTCTTTGGCTGAAGGTGCTTCACCCTGTTTGCCCACATGTCCTGTCCTGCCCTGTCAGACTGCTAGTTAATGATGACCCCTTCCTCTGTGGGGCCTTTATGTACCTTGTGTCTATTTCTGCACTTGGCATTCATCACACTGTAGTCTAATTGTCTGCATGTCTTATCTGCCCTGAGGCCAGGGTTCTTGCTTATTTCTAGTCTCTGACACATAGGGCAGTGCCTGAACGTGGAAGGAATTGAATAAGTTGGTTGAATTTAATTTTCATAGTATGCTAAGAGGCCAATTTAAAATCAGTAAAGAAGAACTTCCCAACAAAAGTAAATTAAAATCATCTTGACAGTGTTCTCCTAGAAGTCTGAATGAAACAAACACAAAAAACATTGTTATTAAAAATTTAGGGAGGAAACCAGTGGGAAGGCTGACATTTGTTGACTAGACCCTCAGTGCATTTTTCACTGTGTCCCCAGCATTGGGGTTAAGACTCTTTAGTTGACTTTCACTTGGATTGTGCATGGTGGATGACATTGGCTTCAGTTGTAAGTGTGGAAACTGATCCTCAGAGAGATATAGTAATTTGCTTACTTTGAAACTTTGTCTCATTGGTCTGTCACTGTTGGCCTTTTGTTGTTCTAATTAGAGCTTCATTATTGTCATCTCATCTTTGGAAAACAGTTGAATAGATTGACACAAATAACTTGAAAAAATATAGAAAAGAGGGTCACCTGGGTGGCTCAGTTGGTTAGGTGTCTGACTTCAGCTCAGGTCATGATCTCACAGTTGATGGGTTCGAGCCCCACACGGGGCTCTGTGCTGACAGCTCAGAGCCTGGAGCCTGCCTCGGATTCTGTGTCTCCCTCTCTCTGCCCCGCCCCTGCTTGCTCTCTTTTTCTCAAGAATGAATAAACATAAAAAAAAAAAAAAAAGACCTAGATGGTTTATCTAGCCAGTTTGTTTTTTTATTTATTTACCATTAAAATCCTTACATGTAGGGGCGCCTGGGTGGCGCAGTCGGTTAGGCGTCCGACTTCAGCCAGGTCACGATCTCGCGGTCCGTGAGTTCGAGCCCCGCGTCAGGCTCTGGGCTGCTGGCTCAGAGCCTGGAGCCTGTTTCCGATTCTGTGTCTCCCTCTCTTTCTGCCCCTCCCCCGTTCATGCTCTGTCTGTCTCTGTCCCAAAAATAAATAAACATTGAAAAAAAAAAATTAAAAAAAAAAATCCTTACATGTAGTGTTTTTATGTGTGTGGTAAAAAACACATTATGAAATTTACTATCCTAAGCAATTTTAAGTGTACAGTTCAATAATGTTAAGTATATTTATACTGTTACAGAACAAATCTCCAGAACTTTATCGTCTAACAGAACGGAATCTATACCCATTAAGTAGTAACTCTGTGTTCCCCCTTCCCCAAGCCCCTGCTGACCAACGTTCTACTTTGTCTCTCTGAATTTGACTACTTTATATAAGTGGAATCACTTACATAAGTATATACATATGTCCTTTTCTGACTTTTTTTTTTTTTTACTTAATATGTAGTAGCATGTGACAAGATTTCCTTCCTTTTTAATGCCGCATAGTATTCCATCGTATGTATGCACCACGTCTTGTTTACCATTCATCAGTGGACATTGTGCTGCTTCTTCGTCTGTCTGTTGTGAATAGCCCTGCTGTGGGTGTGGATATGTGCATACCTCTTGGAACTGGCTTTCAGTTCTTAGGGATACATACCTAGAAGTGGGACTGCTGACTCCTATGTTCTGTTTTTAATTTTTTGGAGAAATGCCATACTGGTTTAGTGGCTACAGCATATTGCATTCCCACCAGCAGTGCACGGGGGTTCGCAGCTCTACCAACACTTACTTTCTGAGGTTTTTTGAAGAGTAGCCATCCTAATGGGTGAGATGATCTCATTGTGGTTTTGATTTGCATTTCTCTGATGATTTAGATGTCAACCATTTTTTCATATGCCTGCTGGCATCTGAGTATGTTCCACAGTTTGTAGTATCTCTCACACCTGGGTTGAAAGATGGGTGGAGTCTCCTGTATCTTTTTTTATATCTCCTTTGGAGAAATCGCTGGTTCAAGTCCTTTGCTTATTTTTAAATTGGGTTATTTAATGGTTTGTTGACTAGCCTCATAAATGTGGTCTCATACTGTTGAGGAATTAAAACCAGTTGAAAAGTATTTTGCCTGTGGAGGTGCCTGGCTGATCCAGTCGGTGGAACATGCAACTTTTGATCTTGGGGTTATGAGTTTCAGCCCCATGTTGGGTACAGAGATCGCTTAAAAAAATAAAGTATTTAAAAAAAATTTTTTTAGCCTATTAATATAAAATTGCCATCTAGTTCCCCAGTGAAGATTATTTCTGGGCTGTGGGTTTGTTCTGGATGATCCAACTATCTGGATCCTTTTGGGAAAATCAGACGTAAATGACTGGCAAGGGGTGGTCTTGCCACTTTAAGGAAGCAGGTGCGTTCTTGAGGGAGGGCCTTACCTTAGTTTTACTCAGTGGGCTAAGCCTTTATATTTAGGCTTCACATCTTCTTCAGCGGTCATATATAGCCACTTTTTGTCCAGGGCAGCCTCCCAAAGTCCTTGCTATCCTGTGGTATGATAGCAGGAGCATGAACTCTGGAATCAGACTTAGGATGCCAGCTTCACCAGTTACTTTCCGTACCTCGGACAAAGAAGAATATTGGTTATTTCATTGGTAAAACTTGGAAAATAATGTTTACTTGATGGAATTGTTTTGAGAATTAAATACGTGAAAGTGCAGTGTATAGTACATACCTGTAGGCCTTCCGTGACCCTGTTCCAGCCTCTACCTCCCAAAGTGCATGCTCAGTGTCTCTTATCTGTAGCAAGGTATTTATGCTCTGGTGTATTTGTTTTCCTTGGCAGTCTCCTGTTAAATTGTGAGCTCCTTGCTTTGTTTGTTTGGTTATGGTTTTGTTCGTTTTTTTAAGTTAGGCTCCATGCCCCCTGTGGGGCTTGAACTTCCCACCCTGAGATCAGGAGTCAGATGCTCTACTGACTGAGCCAGCCAGGCAACCCATGAGTTCCTTGCTTTTGAATCTCTAGCAATTTGTAGAGGGCCTAGTTCAGATTAGACACCAATAAGTAAGTGTTAGTGAACAGAATGAATGTGTGTTTTGATATTTTGTTTCTCAATGGAGGACTCTGAATTTTTTTCAGAAGGATAATGGTATGTACCATTACATAGTTTACGGCACATGTGAACTAGTCCAGGAGTTCTCAAACGTTTTGGTGTCTCAGGACCCCTTTATGCTTAAAAATTATTGTGGGCCCTATTTATGTGGATTATTTATGTGAGTGCTTATTTATGTGGATTAGTTATTTATGGTCTTAGAAACAAAAACAAAATTTTTAAATATTCACTTTAAAATATCAGTGATAAACCCATTGTACATTAATATGGATAACATGTTTTCATGAAAAATAACTGTTTTCCAAAACAACTTAATGAAGAGAGAGTGTTTGACAGTATTGCAGGTCTGTGTAAAAGAGAGGGCATAAAAGGTGGGTGGAGTCTCATCTCTGCGTCTACTTTGTGTCTTTTGTGAGAAGTTGTTCTAGTTGAAGTATAAGCAGAAAATCCCACTTCCCACAGATAAGTGGCTGGAAAAGGAAAGACCTTGTGGACCCCTGCAAGGGTGTCCGGGACCTCCAGGGGCCCTCGGCAAGTACTGTACCAACTACTCATCCAGTCTGAAAGGGAAATGTAATAGTGTTACAGAAGTTAAAGGGTCAAGGAAAAGTGGCACATGTTTAGCCCTATATATAATGGTTACCTATTGTCATTTTGTTATTTGTAGGTTAAAAATATCCTTCATAAAGAAGAAAGATCTTAAGCAACATGGTGGATTCAGAAGCTCATGAAAAGAGGCCGCCCATCCTGACATCTTCCAAACAAGACCTGTCACCTCACATTGCAAATGTAGGTGAAATGAAGCATTATCTGTGCGGCTGCTGTGCAGCTTTCAACAATGTAGCAATCACATTTCCCATTCAGAAGGTGCTCTTTCGGCAGCAGCTGTACGGAATCAAAACCCGGGACGCAGTGCTTCAGCTGAGGAGGGATGGCTTTCGAAACTTATACCGCGGAATCCTTCCCCCACTGTTGCAGAAGACCACCACGCTGGCGCTTATGTTCGGTCTGTATGAGGACTTATCCTGTCTTCTCCGGAAGCACATCAGTCCCCCTGAGTTTGCAACCCGTAGTGTGGCAGCGGTACTTGCAGGCACAACAGAAGCAATTTTCACTCCGTTGGAAAGAGTTCAGACATTGCTTCAAGACCACAGGCATCATGACAAATTTACAAACACTTACCAGGCTTTCAAGGCACTCAGATGCCATGGAATAAGAGAATATTATCGAGGCTTGGTACCTGTTCTTTTCCGTAATGGATTCAGCAATGTCCTTTTCTTTGGCCTTCGTGGCCCCATTAAGGAGCATCTGCCTACCGCAACCACCCACAGCGCTCATTTGGTCAATGATTTTATCTGTGGAGGTCTGTTGGGTGCCATGTTGGGAATCTTGTTTTTTCCAGTTAATGTTGTAAAAACTCGCATGCAGTCTCAGATTGGTGGAGAGTTTCAGTCTTCTCCCAAGGTGTTCCAAAAAATCTGGCTAGAACGAGACAGAAAGCTGACAAATCTCTTCAGAGGTGCTCACCTGAATTACCATCGGTCCCTCATCTCTTGGGGTATAATCAATGCGACTTATGAATTCTTGTTAAAGATGATTTGAAAGAAACCAGTTAAGTGCCATTTATTAACTGCATAGACCTAAGAAGAATGTAGTTTGGCTTTGTTCCTAATTGACCAAATACAGGTTGTTGTCGTAAGTTCAGGGCACAATGAATTATGGGGCAGAGCTGTTTTCCTTCAGCACCAACAAATTCAGAATAAAAGGTTCTAATAGGAAAATTTAAGGGGTTTTTGGTTTTGTTTTGTAATCATTAAGAACTTTAGGCTAATTGCCTGGTTAATAGCTATCTATCTGATGGCTTTTGACAAGGAAAGCTAATAGCCAAGATATGGTTCTTTTCTCCAAAAGTCTTTAAATCTTCTGTATTGAAACATCAGTGGCCATGACCAGCCAGAGAAAAGGCTCTTAGAGCCCTGTGAATTCTCAGGCTTTCTTCTTACTCCATTTCTTCTCTGCTTTTAGGAGTTGCAAAGGGTAGTATTCGTTAAACATAAGCATATAACGTGGTAGGACAGAGAAGAGAAAAACAGCTTATTAGATGTAGGCTTTTCATGATAAATCGCTTGTGTTAGTCTTGAAACTAAGTACATGTTGGGATGGTCATCATCCAGACTATTCAGACACAGTAGGGCAGACCCAAGCAGCAGGTGAAAGCTCCCATTTTGCTTTCTGAGTTGGAAAGTGTTGTTTAGTTCTGAATGTGACCTTAAACCCTTCGAATGCCCTTACGTTAATTTCACTTATTTCATTGCCAAAAGATGGGGAGACTTACATTTCGTCACAGCTGTTTGATCCTGTGAAGAAATTTCACATGAATTGCGTATGGATCAAACTCTGGTTAGTTTAGTTCTTTGATTAATTGTTGCCAACTTAGTGAAGAGCTGTGGGAGTTTGGGGAATATTTTCACTTTGAGTCCTAGTTTCTCATATTCAAGTATCCTGTTCTCTTGAACTCTCCTTAAAAAAAAAAAAAAAAGATAAATACTTGCATAATATTGAATTTTGGAAGTCTGTTAATGGGACTCTAGATTTTTCCCTCCTGGTTTCTAAGTGTTACAGAAGAGAAAAAAAAAAAAAAACCTCAGGATAGCTTTCACCCCAGAGTGTTAGTTGTCTTTTTTATTTTACTCTTGGAAATGGAGACTTCTATTAGGATTTTTACATTTTGGGAACCCAGTTTTACCATTTTATCATTAAAGCCATTTGAGGTGATAAAATCTAAATCAAGATATTTAGAAGGTTCATTTTAAATGCTAGAAGTTGGTAAGAGCTGGATAGCATACTCATCCCCTACATAACAGAGAAAAACTTGTTGAAGGAATCAGATTTTAAAGTCTTATGCCCTGATCAGTAAGGCAAAATGCCTCCTATTTACCAATTGAATAACTAATAAAACCTGAAACATCCTAGAAAAGTGGTTATCAATCTTTTAAAAATCCCCATCTGTAAATATGTAGTTAAGATTGCTTGCCAGCATCTGACATGGCAGAGTAGTTAAGTTTCTTATTACCAGTTTTTCCTCATTCTGGGTAACTGCATATGAATATGTGCATACACTGACCAAAACAAAATCAGGGTCTCAGCTGGTAGTTTACTCAGTTTCTGGGCAGATAGTCCAAAAGAGATGTTTACCTCTAAATGCAATATGGCTGGTCACATAAGCATCCTTCCAACCTTAAAGGATTAGGAAGCATTATCAAGCATTTGCCAGGCAGTAATGAGGCCCAGTAGCTTTACAACAGCCCTGTTTGGAAATGTTGTGTTGGAAATGGCAGTTTACTTTGAAAACCAAGATGCAGATGTGAGGATTTCAGAAAACAAGGATTTGACACCGAATAAACGAATAAACGTGAGTAGCATCTTTGGCTTATTGAATGGAGTCTGGCTTTGAAGCGGTTGGATTTGGGGGCATGAATGACAAAGGCACTGGTGCTGGAGCACTGATGGGTGTGTGTAGGTGCTCAGCGTGTGGCACGTGAGTCAGCCTGGGGCCATGCTCTGGGAATGGGCTTCCTTTTGTCTATACACTCCAGTAAGGTGATGGATAACCAAGTTCTGAAGCACTTTTGTGAAATAGAAGTGAAGTGAGAATTTGAAAGGGGATGCTTTGGTTTCTGCAGTCTCAAACTTGTGGCGTTTAAAAACAAATATTTTTAATGGTTTTAACTCCTAATATATTGGATTTCTTTGTCACTTTTTACAGCTTCTGAAGACCAAACTGCAAATACATTACCAGGGATGGTTTCGTGTTGTCCTATAGACCTTTTAAATTTGACAAAATTCAGCAGGACTTGCTTGTGGTAGCCAACAGCTTTGTCTGAACTTTAAAAGAAGTCAAAGTGTTATTCATAAGAGATTCTAACTATGCTTTTTTATCTTCAGTATGAACTAGTAATAATTTTGAAAAGGCAAACATGATTGAATAACTATCTGAAGAGCTTTAAAAGTGGCCTTTTTGTTACATAGGTGGCACAGATGCCTTATGAGCACAGGGCCCTTCTGGTCCTGCCTCCCATACTTCAGCTCTGATGCCACCAGGAATATGTTACGGATTCTGTATTTAACACACTTAGGAATGGTATGAGCCCTTAGGACTGCATCACAGAGTAAACGCCACCTTTATATGGTGGCAGGTTTGTGTGTCTTTGTTTCATTTGTGGTTGGAGACAGTTGATGTTTTTGTCTCAATAATCAATATTCTTCTTTATGGTTGGTTATGTAATTACCTGCTGTATATTGTAAACTGTGCAATAAAACAGAATTGTGTATATAGAATCATCTTTGGAGACCTGAACTTTCCTAGCTCGATGACAGGGGTAATACTCCGCTCTAGTGCTGTGCAAACATGTAAGGGAATCGTGGGTGGCACACAGGATGTGTGGAGCGGGTCAGCCGATCACACTGCTGGAAATGGCAGGTCAGTGCAGATGAAACTGTGTAGTGAGGGGTATGCAGTCAAAATGAAGGTGAGACAGGCCATCACATGTGAAGAAAGGGTGAGCCCTCAGACTTGATTTCCTTTAAATTAAGATACTGTTTTCTCATGTGCATATAAATGCATATTAAAGACTTGAACAGGCATTCTCTTTAAACTTGAGGACTTTTCATTTTTAATACTGTCATTTTTGCTTAATAGTAAATATTTGCTTGCCTAAGTGACTCCCAAATTGTGGGGGACTCTCCACGTGTCCCTTTTTTTAAAGTTTCATGATGAAAAGTGGTTAAGCACACAAAGCTGTTTTTGTTTGATATTTTGAGTTTTGTGACTGAGTTTAAATGAAATCTGTTAAATGTGTTAGAGTTAACATTCTTCTTTTGGTAATTCTGTTTGGAATAAAGTTGTTTGTTTTTTTTAAGTCCATTCTATTTGGTCTTCTACTGTGGTTGGGTTAGGGTTATTGGCACAACTTTTCTGTGGTTCAGGCTTGTCACTGTTGCTAACCATTGAGCACTCTGCTTTGACTGTAGCACCTTCACCTGTTAACTTTGTAGGTCCTTCATTTATCCGTCTTTGGTCAAGAAGAGTTCCAGATAAGTTAATTTTCCAGATAGCTTAATTGCAAAATATTTTTTAAAATGGTTTTTCTCAAATAAACTTTTCCCTACTAAGTATAACCTTAGTAAATGCATCTTATCAATAATTTCTGTGGTATAATGTGCCTTCAGGTCACACCTACCCCCACGCTAAGTGGTCTGGACCTTTGTGCTGTTTTGAGTTTTTTATATCTACGTTTGACTTCCCAGCTACGCCTTTCTGTTAGGGGATTGTGAAATTATTTTAGCTACATTGTTTACACATTAAATTTTCAGGTGTTCCCTGTCTCTAGGGACAGTCGGCTGCCTGGTGAGGACCACGAGGAAGGGGAACAATTGCCATAATGTTTCTAAAACTCCAGTTTAGGGTTGGAATTCATTGTATATATATTCTGAACTTCCGAACTGGTAAAAGGGGTGTTGTGCGTGGCCTGTGATGCGATGCCGTTTCAGCCCAGCCGCTGGGGTGCTGTTCTAGACTACTGAGCGCATTTCTCCGTGTGACCTGGTGTGGGCAGGGTGCTTCAGATCTCTAAGAGGTGGGCACCCAACTTCATTTAGCGTCTGAAATTTCCAATGGGGACATTTTTTCCAGTGAGCATAACTGATTTTGAAGTAGAAACTGAAGATAAAATAAGATTTTTTCTAAATTCTGTCCCTTCAATCCATTCTGCATATTGCTTTAAGACTAATTCTTTAGATGCACGGATCCAGGCCACCCCCCCCCCCCCCCCCCC